TCCTGATTTACACCACTGTGTGATGGAAGAGAACGAGGCACAACCTCTACGTGCCGATTGCTAATGAGGAAAAATTTGCTCTGGTATTTAAGTGACATCACATGAAAGATGTGTTATTTAAGCACCTTTTTGAGAAAGCCTTCAGAGCTCTCATGGGAAAGCGTTTGCAGAAGAGTTGCAAAGGTCCACTCAGGAAGGGCAAGAGAAACTGTTTTTCTTTGCAAGATGGCAAAAGCAGAAGTCATAAGACAGATGTACTGAGTCAGCCTAGAAGTCCAGCAGCCTCCTAACCCATCTCCAACAGTGGTCAGCAGGGGTTGCTTCAAGAAGAATGTATTTGAAGCAGGACACATAGCAAGTGATCTTTGTGCTACACATCCTCTCACCTTCAGGCAGGCAGTATGTCAGAGACTTCTTACATTTGAGGTTGCATGTAAATTATCATGTTTACTAGCTATTGTGTTGAATAATCTCAAGCTCTGTTCTGCTCATCTTTCCTATTCAATAATCTCTTTTCCAAGCTGAAAAGTCCTGCATAACAGGGCTCTCTATGAACAGAGACTGCTCCATACCAGGTCTTTTATAGTGCTGTGAATGTTATCTCTTTCCCAACTCTTAGCAGTGGAGACGTAATTCAAACCAGAAGTTACGGGTAATATATTTAGTTGTGGTTTATTGCTTATCCTATACAAATAAAAAAACAGGAATGTGTTGAAAAAACACTTAGATTCTCCTTGTTGCTAAATAAAGGAGGGCAAAGGACTGGTCCTTGGCCCTGAAGCCAAGGATGCTACCTCACTTGGGGTCAGCCCCCTCTAGAGCAAACTAGACTTGAAGAAAAGTAGTTGGAGCAGTTAAAACTAGAGCCAGGGAACAAGACAAGTATTAAGCAGTGTGGGCCATCAGGGGTCTAGTGTTGGAACTATCCACTGACCTTCTTTAATGTAGAATAAGTCTGCACTGAGTAGCTAAACGTGACTCTGAGCTCATTTTTAAAACAGACTTGCCCATCATTGACAGTTTGTGCCTTAAGCACGTTCAAAGGAATGGATTTAGACATACTAACCCTGCTTGATATTTTAAGGAGGACCAAACCTTCACGCTGCAACCAAAGCTACCAGCTTTTTTACTCTTTCTGCTCCTCAGGGGCATGGTTTCGATCCCACCTGCAGCCAGACTGATCACTAGCAACATGTTCCAAAAGTGCTTTGGCTCACCAAGCTTTAATCTGCTTTTAGAGTAGATATCATAGAGCCACAGCTGGGTCCTTGCTCTGCACTCCCTCAGCCTACATTGGTAGTCCAGTGCCAGGACTGCCTGAATTGGAAGCAGACCCATGTTTCTAAATGGTAGTTCTTGCTTTGTTTGCATAGTTCAACCAGTTGTTGCTATGTACTGATGGATGTGGCTAGTGGTCAGGAAGGTTTGGGGTCAGCCTCTGACAATTTGTGGTGCAACTTTGCAAAATCAGAAGACTGATTACCATAAGACATGCATAAGCATGGTGTGGAAAGCACATGGTGTAGGGGAGTGTTAGGAACTAACATGTAGCTGGGATTTAGATTAACGGGCCGGAGATGTTCCTGAAGCCCTGGGCTGGCCCAGTAAAGGATATAAGGAATGGGCAGGGATAGTCTGAGCACTCGCCTAAGCCACAACAACCCCCAGCATGAGCAGATGTGATCAGCTCCTAATCTCCAGCAAATCCACGCTGAGGTCATTACATTTCCATTAGTATTTTCTCTGTAGATATTAAAAAAACAAACAAACAAACTGCAACAAATGCTGTGGGATTTCTGCTCCAGAACATCCCTTTCTTTCCCTCCACTCCTCTGCTCCAGATATGCTCTTCTATCCTGCTGCTGCCAGCTACTGACAGAGTGACCATCACTGCAGTACCAGAGCCTCTAACTCTGCAGTTTCGCTGGGGCCCGCATCTGTCTGCGCCTTGCCTGTCATCACAGTGGATGTCTTTTATACAAAACCCCATGAAAAGCAGTTTGATTTTGAAGAATATTTTCTTGTCTCACTGCTTTAAGAGATCAAACAAAGGTATAGCAAACTTTTTTTCCCTACCTCTTCTCTACCCTTTTGATCATGTTGCTACAGCTGGGAAGAGGGGAGGAAAGGGAAAAGAATTTATAACTCAGCAGTGGCTTGGATGATTTGCTACATCAATACTGTTGGTTTGTATCAGTATAAATTATTGCTGTGGGTCCTAATGATGAATCATAGTGATGCTAGGTGATAGTAATGCCATCAAACACAAGCTCTCAGGCTTTGTGGCAACGTCTTGTCCTCCTATAAATTAGATTTGTTTCATTGCTGATCTCTCCATAGACTGTTGAAATAAATCTTGGACATGCTCAAGCAAATGGGGAAGGAGAGGGAGGGTAACAAAGGAGAGACAGAGTCCTGTGATGAGCAAAGCCTGACTGGGTGTTGTGAGGCTTGGCAGAGACACTTGCAGATAACTTTAATGAAAGCATAGAGGAGTTTGTCCTTCTGCTCATCGTCTCCTCCCAGACATGAAAAGAGCTCAAGTTATTTGGCAACAGCTTCAAGAACAAGGCCTGTGAGTTTCTTCTTTGCATACAGCATGGGTAGAAAAGCTGTGATTCACTTGCTTCCAGTCCTTGCTTAGAGTCAAAGGAGGTCTTGGAAGGTAACACCCTTATAGCTTGGACTGGCCTCTGTCACAGCTGAGCTTCGCCAGGTCCCTTTGCCCAGGTGGCAGCCCAGCTGTGGGAAGCTGCTCATGTGGCACGAGATGAGTGCCACAAAATCCTTCAGAGAAACAGCCGCTAACAGTCTCTACCCATTGTCTCTCCTTCTGGAAACCCTCCACTGTCCCCTCTGTGCTTCGGTTTCTCTTCAACTCAAGGAGCAGAGTGT